AATCAACTCGACAGCAGTGAGTTTGGTTTTTGGTAACTGAAACTGAGTCAACTATTCTTGAGTGCCACTCAGGATCTACTTTCTCAGGAAAACCAACCAAGCAGAAAGGATCTCACAAGAAGCAAAAATATATTCTTGGCTTCTGTCAGATGCTCCTTTGTGGGAAGAAACTTGACTATTCTCCCTAAAGAGGAACATTATGTTGCAAGATGATAATACCCATGATAAAACTAAAACCAAACCCACTGCCATCGAGTTGATTCCGATTCATAGCAACCCCCATTGGGCTTCCAAGGCTGTAAATCTTTACGGAAGTAGATTGACTCATCTTCCTCCCGCAGAGCAACTGGTGGGTTTGAACCCCAACCTTCTGGTTAGCAGTCAAATGCCTTACCTCCTACACCACCAGAGCACTTTAATACCCATTATAGATTAAATAAATTTATAATGATTAAAGAAAAGCCCTTTGCAAACTATAACAATCATGTTGTTGTCGTTATGTGCCGTCGAGTCAGAGCCAACTCATAGTGCCCCCTTTTGGGTTTCTGAGGCAGTATCACTACGGAAGTAGATTGCCCATCTTCCTTCTGAGGAGTGGCTGGTGGGTTTGAACCGCTAGACTTCTGGTTAGCAGTCAAGTGCCTTAGGCACTACGCTACCAGAGCTACCATTTATTGAGCACCTACTATGTCCTAGACACTATATTAATCACCTTATATATATTGCATGTAAACTTAACAACTCTTCAGAAAGGTAGGAAGTATTATCAAGTAATAGATATAAATTATATTTGTGAAAAATGTATAATAAAATTAAGTGTTCATTACATTAAAATTTTAAGCAGCCTGTTTAAATGTTTTAGAATATTATCAAAACTATGTGAAACAGATTGAAAATATTTAAAATTGGAAGCAAATGAAAATAAAATGTCAATAATGACTGTAGTTAGGTAATGAAAATGAAGTGATTTCCACCACCACCCCTTCTTTTTTCTATTTCTTTGTATATCCCAATTGAACAAGTTTGAAAAAAATTCATTGTACACATGTGTTGTTGTTGTTATGTGCCATGGAGTTGGACCCGACTCATAGCACCCCCTCCTTGGGTTTCCAAGGCAGCATCACTACGGAAGTAGATTGCCCAACCTTCCTCCCGAGCAGTGGCTGGTGGGTAGTAAATACTTTTTAAGAAATGCTACAGAATTATCTGAGCCTTTCTGGAAATTATTCTTTGGTAATTTTTGCAATTGTCTGCTTTAGGATTGATTTCCTTAGATTTTTCTACTTCTTGAATGGATTTCAGAATTTTTTTCCCCAAAATATAAATTTGAGGTTTTAAAAAATTTTAGTAGCATGTTTTCCTCCTTATCTGCTTCTGTCACATAATCTCTTACTGTTTTTCTCTCAAATCAGATTTATCATAAGTTTGTAATTTTTATGGGTATATTTACAAAGATCCCATTTTTGGATTTATTTGTCACTGTCACTTTTTCTATTTTGTAATTCATTTACTTCTTTTTAATCTTTATTTCTTTTCTTCTCTTTTCCTTGTTTCTCAATCCTATTTCTGAGCTAAATGTGTGATTTATAGTTTCTTTTTCAATAATAAAAGCAAGTAAGCATATACATCTACAAAGTACTGTTATTT